CAACCTCTTGGAAGGAGAACTTTGTATTTTTTGTAATTTAATATTCTGTTTCTCAGAAGCATAGTAAGAGCTGGGTTTTAATTACAATACACATAGTGTATCCCTAGATGAATACTCTTTTCTTAAAGCCTCGACAAGGTACACTATACATTTAAAATTTGTTTTTTATTTTAATGCAGATTTTCAAGTATGCGTTTTTAGAAAATGTTCTCAGAAGAAACTTCTGTCCCTTTTCTACCACAAATTATGGAGACCAGTACAAATAATTTGAAAAATGTCTTTGACCTCACGTTTACACCCACAAAAAAAGACCACTGGAATGTGTCACTCCAGAAGCCTTGACCTCAGTAATGTAGTAGAAAAAAAATTATTCATGAAAGCAAGTCATCCTTTGCCCTTCAGACTGTAATTAAGATTTAGAAAAGATGCCTAACGATAGCCCTGCTGTCGCTCAGGGGAACGGAATTCAGTAGGACCAGGGACAGTGAGGTCTCTCAGGTTTTCCCTTGTTCTCAGGGTAGCACCTAAAAATGTCAGCACCTGATCTGGTGCCAGTGCTCAGTCGAGGCGTTGATATTTTTCTGAGACCGCAAGTGCCAGGTCGCACAAGCAGTGAGTGTTTCTTGCCACAAGCCCCCCTACGCGTCTCGCAGAGACGACTGCTGAGGTGGTAACGAGCGGCGTCCAGTAGCACCCCAAGTCCTGGTCCAGCAGAAAACCACCTTACTGCCAACTTCCTCAACTTCCCACAGTTGGTGCTACATTCACAATCTCAGAACGTGTTCCTTTTTCAAGTACAGCTCACCATAATGTTCTTCACTACTAAGCATACACAGTCGCTTTATGGATTTAGGTCACTTCCTCATTTGTTTGATTTCAAAATCTGTCTGAACAATTTTAAAAAGTATTTTTGAGGCTTTATCTCATCTTTTAGTTTTATCTTACCATTACTGCTCCAATTATACATTCGCTATTTGCAAAGAAAACACAGCATTACATCATAATAGGATGTTTAGTCATCAAATTAGTCCAAGAAATAATAGAGAATTACTTATCAGTCATCCATTGCAGTAATATACCCATCTGCCAAAAAAAAGAGGAAAAAAAAAATTCTGCGTTCATATACAAGAATTCACTGAATTGTTCATGTTTTGCTTCTTCTTATGTCTTTCATTTTTAATTTTAAGAAAAATTGATAGTGACCCTAACCAGACTCAAATAATGACATACCCAGTGTCCACTCAAATCTCTAATACCTGGCTCTTACAGTTATGTTTTCCCAAGTATTCTGAGGTTTAGTCAATACTGAAAAATACAGTCATGCTGCGGATTAAGTGCTTTCATTTTTCCATGTAGTCTTAATATGGGTTATTTTGCCATTCCAATAAATTAATCTCAGTGTGTATGCTTAATCCCTTTTCCTGGCTTTAAATAAACTCTGCCAAGAAGCAACTCTCACAGATAGTCCAAAAGCCTTTTCTTATTTATTTCCCCTGGAAGAACATTGTGATTTAGCAAACAATCCACTCAGAGGAGGATAACCTCAGAAAGTGTCATGCCAAGACTGTCAGCCTGCTGTGATAAACTGGCAATGGTGAGGCACCAAATCCAGGTCAGGCGTTGTGCACCTATTAAAATACCATAAATTTGCAACTTTTACCTGATGTTCAGCTTGATTGTGTTTTTTTCAGAAATGTTTGACTAGCTGTAATTTCCCTTTCTTCCTACAGTCATCACGGCAGGACAGGTTTACGTACCAAAACGTGGCAGTATCATCAAAACAGCACAGTACACTCCGCCCGTGGAAATAAGAGGCGAGGCATCTGAGCATGTCAGAAGGCTGTTTTCAATATACCACTCTCAGAGAATTATTACTGATATGTGTGGAGAAACAAGTGTGAAGAACTTAATTACTTTTTTTTGATTCTGCAAGAACAGAGATCTTCGGAAATTTCTACCAAACCAGACCAACAGATTTGGTTTGTCCTGTAATGAGGCTGACAAGGAAGCATAAATACGTGGGTACACACACTACAGCTTCTGTTTGGCACCGTGGCGCAGGGGCGGATGTAAGCAGGTTCATGCCGACTTCAGATGCTTTGGCTTTCCTCAGAGAAAATGGAAACATTTGGCAAAATCAACATTTCTCCAAGAACATTATCAATTCTGTACAAAGTGCAAAATCTCAGGAAAACAAACAAACAAACAAACAAGCAGCACATTTTAGCTGAAAATTCCTACTCAGTTCCAGACATAATTGTGTCTGAAGGTTCACGTGAAGTCGGTCGCCATGAATTGTCCACTTCCTTGTTGGCTTCCTTTCACATTAAAGCACAACCCAGCATCATTTCTGTTATTGGGATTACACCGGTTTCCTCTCATTTCACTCTCTACCTTGAAGCCAGTCTTCTTTTTAAGTCGATAGCACACAATATGCAAACCAGTGGCAAGAAACTATTAGAAACTGCTTATGGAGGTTAAATTATGACTGACACAACAGCCTGAACTTTTATGTGCCAGAAAGCAGCAACAGGTTATTACTCTGTCCAAACCTTTCCAATCAATCACGCAGTCATGCTGTTGCTCTGTATTTGGAACAGCTATTCTTTAAATACTCTTTTTTGGTGGAAGATGTTTAGCAGCTCTATCAAGCAGGATCACGAATGATTCCTCAAGCATCATATTTCAGATAAACAGGAGTATTTCTGCAAAAGAATGTGGGGTTTATGTGACATTACTGAGGACCTTATTTCCCGAAATAACACCGATTCTTTGTTAATTTGGAACGTAGAGTCACATATGTGTAACAACTGGAACTGTCAGAAACCTGAGTGGCAGTTGAATAATCGGTGTGTCTCACCCAAAGTGTCTAAACTCAGCTGCTGTTTACCATCCACAGAGAGAAAGAATTTTGCGGCTGGACCGTAAGCAGCCACACCAACACAATTACTAACGTGCTGCACGTTCAACTGGCTGATCCCTGAGGAAAACTGAAAAGAATCAGAGACAAGGCATGCCACATGCATTTGGGCCCTACTGGGAACAATTCAGGTGCCAGGCAAAAAATCAGCAATGCTGGTACATGTGGTGGTGCTGGTAGATAATGCTATTGAGTAAGAGGCAAAGAGGGGACTAGAAAGCTACAGGGCTTCTTCCAGTGCCACTGGGAAACTGCATTTAGAATCACAGCCTGGTTTGGGTGGGAAGGGACCTCAAATCCCCCCCTGAGCCCCCCCTGCCCCGGGCAGGGCCCCCTTCCCCCAGCCCAGGGGGCTCCCAGCCCCGTCCAACCTGGCCTGACATGTTTCAAGGGTTTTCCTCAACATTCCTAAATTTTAACTTTGTGCAAGTGGTGATGCACTAGAAATTTCTTGCGGCTTAGAGGGTTCATGTTTAATTTCTAACCCTGACTGCATAAGGATATACTAATTTGGCATTAATGAAAGCATCTATTAAAATGCAACTGTAAAATTTAGCAGTTCAAGAGCTATTAGAGAGCTAGGTAATCATGTGTTAAAGTATCTACTAGCCTTTTTTAACACATACTTCCAGCAGAAACATGCCACCGGTCAAGTTTATTGGTGTTATAAACACTATTTAGCGAAGCATAAGGAGCTGAGGGATTGATCTGAAAAGGAAGGTAAGTTGTTCCCCCCCAAAAGTGAACTTAGTGGGAGTTTTAAGGTGTCATCAGCTGTTTTGGGTTGTTTTTTTTTTTTTTTTTTTTCTGAGGGATCCCGCAGCACTTCCCCCCGGGCGGCCGCCGCCAGCTCTCCCGCTCCTCACCGGCGAGGGCTGGCTGCGGGGCCGGCAGCGCCCCGGCTCCGAGGGGACCTCGGGGCCCAGCTGGGCCCAGCGCCCCGGCCCGAGCGCCCCGCGTCGGGGAACCCACCGCTGCCCCGGGGGGGGACGATCCCCGCGGCTGCTCGTGGTGAAACGTGTTCCTCGGGTGTCGCTTCGCTCTCGCGGCGGCACCGGAGGCCCCGGCGGGGCCGGGGGGAGCGGGGCCGGGGCCGGGGCCCCGCCGGGCCGGGCCGGGCCGGGCCGGGCCGGGCCGGCAGCTCCTGGCGCGGCCCCGGGGAGGAGCAGCCGGCGGCGGCGGGAACGCGCCCGGCCCGGCCCGGCCCGGCCCCGGGGTAGCGGCCCCCGCGGAGGTTGCGCAGGTGGGGGCGGGCGGAGCGAGGCCTCCGCCGCGGGCTCCCCGCGGGCTGGGGCCGGCGCGGCCGCGGGCACCGCGCCCGGGCGCAGGTGGGGACGGGGAGCGGGGAGCCGGGAGCGGGGTGCCCGGACCCAGGAGCGGGGTGCTGGGAGTCGGGAGCGGGGTGCCCAGACCCGGGAGCGGGGTGCCCGGACCCCGGATCGGGGTGCCGGGAGCCGGGAGCGGGGTGCCCGGACCCAGGAGCGGGGTGCTGGGAGCGGGGCACCCGGACCCAGGAGCGGGGTGCTGGGAGTCGGGAGCGGGGTGCCCGGACCCCGGAGCGGGGTGCTGGGAGGCAGGAGCGGGGTGCCGGGAGCCGGGGTCGGGGTGCCCGGACCCAGGAGCGGGGTGCTGGGAGTCGGGAGCGGGGTGCCCGGACCCAGGAGCGGGGTGCTGGGAGGCGGGATCGGGGTGCCGGGAGCCGGGGTCGGGGTGCCCGGACCCCGGATCGGGGTGCTGAGAGCCGGGGTCGGGGTGCCGGGAGCCGGGGTCGGGGTGCCCGGCCCCCGGATCGGGGTGCTGGGAGCCGGGGTCGGGGTGCCGGGAGCCGGTCCCCGGCCGAAGCGCCGCGGGGCCGCAGGGGCCGTTCCCGCCGCACGGCGGCTCTGCGCGCCGGCTTTGAAGTTAGTTAATTTTGCTTGGGATAATTACTGGCAAGAAAGGAGCTGACGTGTTCCTTCCCGAGGATAAATTGCTAGCAGACCTATCAACACTCTGCATAACCGGAGTCGGGATGTAGCGACAGCCAAACACTGCAATTTCCACGGTTGCTTCCTTCAAAAATTAAAACTTTACCTGTAAGCAGCGAGTCATGGGGCACACCGCGCTGAGATGAAGAAATGGGGAGGCTGTTTCTTTAAAATGAGCAACGTTTTAGATCGTTACATAGATCTAGGTACCTGGGGGAGAACCAGGAGGTTTGGGTCTGTTTCGCGGGGTGGTTTTTTTGTTCAGGTTACAAAATCCTTCTTGCACTTCCAGCTGAAAACCGAGCGGCTCGGCACGGCTGTCACCCTAAACGCTTGTGTGCTTTGCTCTCCTTGCAGGACTCGGCTGGCCGCCGCCGCGCAGGATGGCCGCGTAGCGTTTTCCTGCAGGATGAAAGCGAGCCGCAGAGGCCGGCGCGGGTGGCTGGGGACCCTGCTCGCCGTCTGCCTGGCCGCCCTCCCCGGCAGCAGCGCCTGTCCCCGGCTCTGCGCCTGCTACGGCCCCACCGAGGTGCACTGCACGTTCCGGTACTTCACGGCCGTCCCACCGCACATCCCGCCCAACGTGGAGCGCATCAACCTGGGGTACGTTCCACACCAAGGCTTTAAATGTTCTGATCAGGTACCTTTCGACACTTTGCAAAGCAAGAATTATGGCTTTCCAGAGTTAGGGCTATAAATTAACCAAAGCAATAAATAAATCTTAAGAGCTTAACGTTCTGCAGTGTTCAGAGGTGGCTGCAATCACAGCTAGCAAAGCCCAAGACCACTGACACAAAGTGGAAGTTTTGGGGACGTCTCGCAGGGTGTGTAAGAGCTTCAAAAAGCTTTGAACTTAAATGAATCCTTTTATATTACCCAAACATTTTGTATCTGTGACCTGGAACTCAGGAGGAGTCTGCAATAGAATTATTTCTGGGGAAAGACAGTTCAGAACCTAGTGGGCTGGAAAATGAGTATGTATATTCAAATGTTTAGAGACTTTGCTGTGCCTTGAGAATGTTTCCACTGAGGTCTTCCCCCTCATCTGCCCTCTGCTTCCGGGCAGCGTATCCCGATCCCAGCTCCTGACTCCTGTCTGCCCTTTCCTTCCACTGATTCAGTCAGCGTTGTCCAGAGGTGCTGTGTATGGAGTCTTACAGTTAAGTACCAGTACTTTTAGAGGACTCTGGGTTACCTGAGGTGCGCAATGCGTTTGAAATACATTAATTACTAGTACGGAAAGGCCATCTATCTGCCTGGTGAATTAATCTAACTTCTTTGTCACCACGGGGCATAGGAGGTGTGACTGCAGCACGGGAAGAGCCCCTGCATTGGCTAATCGGGTCGTGCAAGTGGGGTAGCAGTCACGGGGTCAGAGGCATCGCAGAGTAGGTACTTGGTGTTTGCGGGGCTTACACAACACCTGGTTCTGGGGTGGCGTGCCATCACTGCTGTCGGGACCCACGCCGGCTAGAGCTAGGTACGGCTGATGGTCAGACCTCCTCGAGCAGTGCAGCTCTCACCTCAGGGGCTCTCCGCTTCATTCTTGGTTCCCTGGTTGAATCCAGCCTAGGCTGCCCGCACTGTACGTACGCTCACGGAATCGGGGGGGAGGCCGAGGCCACGCCTGCCTTACCAAGAAGCGTGCGCCCCCCCCCCCACGCCTGTGGGGTGGAAATCAAAGTGAAGCTGTCCAGCTGCAAAGGGCGGGCAGCACGGTCCAGCCAAGGACCGGGGCGGGAGTGCAGGACGCTCTGCAGAACCCGCCTGCTGCAGAGCCACGGGGGCCGGCCACCCCGGTACCCCCGGCTTTACCTAGCTGTCGGCAGACAGCAAAGGAGCCTCCTTTGTGCCCGGACCTCTCCGTGCTGCTGCAGCGTTGGGAAAGCCCTGGGCTGAGGGAGGCACCCGTGGATCACCGACCTCTGCCACCGCAGCAGCTCCTCGCCCTTCTACACGCAAGCCCGAAGCTGGCGTTCTTGTCAGCACACTGTTGCGGTTATTTTCCCTATCCACTGTAAACACAGTCTTTAGAAAGCTGTCCTGAAAGAGTTACAAAATTTTGTGCTAACCTGAATGACTTAAAAATGCATCTTAGCAACCAGAAGTACCTTTATGCATTTCCAAAGAGTTGTTCTTGTGTTTTGGTTTTGTTTGTTTTAAAACTTGTGAAGTTTAGCTGCCTGACTAAACCCAGGTCTGGGATGAAATGTTTGTTACAGTTACAACAGCTTGCTTAAACTGACGGAAACAGATTTTTCTGGCCTGGAGAAACTGGAGTTACTGATGCTGCACAGCAATGAGATAAATACAATCCCTGATAAGGTGTTCAGTGATTTAGATTCATTACAGGTAAGAACCAAATGACCTAATCTTAATGAGGAGACGACCTAATCTTAATTTTTGTTATGGCTGTTCAACAATCTGCAGTAATACTGGTAAATGGAAGCAGACCAGCAGTCTGCAGCATTTTGGTTTCCTGTTCCTGGTTGTAGCCACGTGGAAGGCGAGGGCCTTCATGATCCCGTATCCCAACGGGAAATGTCCTTCCTTCCCAGGTGGGCATTCAGGTACAGGTTGAAGAGCGTGACAAACGTGCTGTAGATACCTGTCAGCAATACCTTAACAGGCAACTGCCCCTGAAACTCTTTCACACGAGAGAGAAAGACTGCAGAGCTCCCAGTACTGTATCTGTGGTAGGAAACTTGTCTTTAGTTAATTTGTTAGTCAATTTTAATTTTATTTTTTTTTTAGGATGGTTTCCAACCCAGATTTCCTTTTCCCTTCAGGACAGTATAGTCCTGTCCCTTTCTATCCTTCATTAAAAAAGGGCTCCTACTGAACAGAAACTGGATGTACTACATATAAACATGTTAATGCTTTAGAAAAACTACAGTTCCTTGGGTTTATAATTTAATATATACTTGTGGACTTTGAAAATGTAGTATTTGATGCCTGTTTTATTCTTTAACTAAAGTATTACCTACTTCTAAAATATTACCTACATTTATGTATATTTTAAAAATCAGGAAACATACAGTGTCATACAGGGATTCTGGAGCTATCTCAGTATCTCACCATGACATGTAGATATTCATATATAAAGAAATACATACATGACTATTTTGGAACAACCATTCCCAACTAATTCAATGTACGGGTAGCACTTGCTCTCCAGTTAAATTTCAGTCTAGAGCTGTTACTGACCGCTGCAGAGAAAGAATAACGTTGGAGCTGTGATCAACTACGAACATGAGAGACCTGAACTGTTCAGACAGAAAACAGGGTATTGGCTCAATTGCTGGTTTGAGAGGATCAGGGGGAGGGGGTGGGAGGGAAAGGCAGAAACCAGCCAAGCTTTGGAGCACGCAGATCCTCAGGTTTCACGAGCCCTCATAAAGGATAGCTCTGGGCCTGAAAGCTTGCTCGTTAACACCGTGCAGCTGATTTAAGAAAATAAGCTTTTCCTCCCTTATTGACAAGCAGGATGACAACACAATTATAGGCAGTTTTAATGGAATTATGTTTGGGAAATAAAATAAACTTGCACGTTATTGTGGTTTTGTAATTTTCTTCCTCGTTAATTTTCAAATTAATACAGTCACAGAATTCGTGAGTGTAACGATAATTCTAACAGGAAAAGTAAGAACAAAAAGGGTGTCTTGGGTACCGTATTTAATACTTCAGCAATATGCCAGACTTGTTCATCTCCTAGTTAATGAATTTGACTTTTAACCTGTCAGCAACAAAACGGCACCTGAGAGTTGAGGTTTGGCAAGGACACATCTCGTGTGACACCAACCCTGGAACTGGGAACACGCTTAGCGGTCCCGCTGCTTAAACGTCAAACAAAACAGACTGGTGCCCGTGTTTTTGTAGTCATAACACTGGCTGGAACAAAAATCACTACCACAGTTTATGGTCAAATTCTGCTTACCTTTTTCGTAAGTGTGGCTTAATTGGGATTTTTTTTGAATGAGAAATAAGCATTGCTTTATTCTATTTTTTAATCACTGCTTTTTGTAAATGTGACTGCAGAAGTGTCACCCCGATGGACTGTTGGAACAAGAACACAGCCTTCTAGTCTTGCAACTAACACAGCATTTAAAAGTAATTCCTCCTACCAAGTTTTTTTCCAATCACTCATATTACTAGTCGGGTGAAGTACTTCATAGAGTAACCATCAATCAAAATTTGTTAGGAGTCTTAGAACAATATAACAATGGTTAGTATTATACGCTTGTTGCTTTTTTCATCAACAGGTCTTAAAAATGAGTTATAACAAGGTCAGAGTACTTCAGCAGGATGTTTTTTATGGTCTAAAGAGCTTGGTGCGGTTGCATATGGACCACAATAAAATTGAATTTGTAAATCCCAACATTTTCTATGGACTCACATCGCTGAGGTTGGTCCACTTGGAAGGAAATTTACTTAAGCAGCTTCATCCAGATACTTTCGTCACCTTGCGCTATAGCCAAATATTTAAAATATCCTTCATGAAGCACATATATTTGTCTGACAATCTGTTGACTTCACTACCACAAGAAATGTTTTCCTACATGCCTGAGCTAGAGAGCATTTACCTTCACGGAAACCCGTGGTCCTGTGATTGCAATCTACAGTGGTTTGCAGAGTGGGCACAAGGGAGACCAGGTGAGCCGAAGGCTTCGCTTACGCTTTTTAAGCATGTTCTAGCATCTTGCTCCTTTTGATAAAGGTAATTGTCCTTTATTTATTCTCCCAGAAAGGTCCAGAACTTCTGTAGGTGTAGGTAATCAAGCTAAACAGATTAATACAATTCAGTTTCCTAGATGAAATGAATCAAGGGGTCTCAACCCATTCCCAGACGCAGCTTTCCTTAACGGAACGTTTTCCTTGGCCAGTCCAGAGCATCTGTGCACGAGGAGAATCCTCAGGGAATAAGCAAGCTAATTTCTGCGTAGCTGGCAAGAGTGAAGGCCACACTGTGCTCGATTCTTCAAAAAAGAATTCAGGGACTCCAGCCTTTCCCCGTCGCTGCCCTGCGTAGAGGCTGCGTGCGGCAGCGGTGTTGCGCCCCGGCTGCCCGAGCCCCGGCCCTGCCCCACGGGCGAGCCCCCCCACGCCACGTAACGCCACGGGGCCGGGGGGCTGCGCTACCAACCGTCCGTAAGCAGTGTCCTCAGAGAGCACTCACGGGTCTTTACTTCAGGTTTCATAGGTTGCTGCAAGTTAAACTTGGTTAATATTTTATATTAATAAACTATAAATTTTATATATAAGTTTATATTAATAAACTATAAATAAAATAATACTTTATATTAATAAAGATAATAACTTGCCGGTAGCTATATGTCTTTCTTAACACTGAAAATTGTATCACAAATGCTTACTGCATTTTTCTTCCCTTCAGACGTTACGAAGTGCAAAAAAGACAGAAGTTCCGGTGCTCAGCAATGCCCAGTTTGTGCTAGTCCCAAAAATCATAAAGGGAGGAGCATAGTGGATATTCCTTCTGCATCTTTAACCTGCACTAAGCCAGCTATACATGACTCCCTGAAAGTTAAAAACCTCACGGTGCCAGATGATGGGGATTTCAGCTCTGTATCTCCCAAGGACTTCATAGCTCCTATAGGATCCGTGGTCTTGAACATGACTGACCAAGCAGGAAGTCGAGGTAACTTGGTTTGCAACATCCAAAAACCTAAAGAAGTGTCTCCCATCTCATTTGACAAAGACGGCAACAATACAGTACTCAGAACATCATTCTCAGCATTTCTTGTGTGTGGCATTGATTATGAACATATTCAGCAGCTATGGAGCATACTAGCACTGTACAGTAATTCTCCCTTGAAGCTGGAAAGGAGTGTCCTAGAAACCAATACGCCTTTTATTAGTTACAAATATAAGCAAATCTACTCTGAAAAAGATGAAATTTTTACCAATATAGAGACCGACCTGAGAGCTGAACCGTCCTGGTTAATGCAAAGCCGAGTGGCATTACAGCTAGACAGGACTGCAACCACACTGAACACACTGCACATCCGATACTTTACGGATGCCCAAATTATTTTGCCCAGTGCTGACAAAAACCAGGTGAGAAATAACTGGACCATCATCTCCAGAGACAACAAAACACGAACAGAGCACACTGTTCTAGTCGGGGGGACTGTAGAATTGGAGTGCCAAGCAATTGGAGAACCAGCTCCTGTGATAGAGTGGATCTTGGCTGATGGGAGCAAAGTCAGAGCTCCCTATATCAGTGAGGATGGAAGAATCGTAGTACTCAAAACTGGAGCATTCACGTTACGGACAGCTGATACTTTTGACACTGGGCTGTATCACTGCATAGGCACAAATTACAACGATGCAGATGCTCTCACATTTAGAATTACTGTGGTCGATCCGCACGTGGAACACAACAGCGTAAATGGAGCCCAACTTTCCACGTTTGTTGGCAGCACGCTCTACCTTCCCTGTACATCCGCTGCTGTTCCAGACGCTGCCGTTAGCTGGGTGTTACCTGACCATGAGATTCTTCATCATTCTGTAAGAAACAAACATATTTTTGACAACGGTACCTTGAGAATACAAGGGGTAACAGAGCGAGACAGTGGCTACTTTAGATGTGTTGCAGCCAACCAGTATGGTGTTGATCTTTTGGTTTTCCGGGTGTTGGTCACAAAGGACCAAACCACTCTAAAAAAGAAGGATGTAGCTGGGGGAGGATGGGACGAGGGCGATGGCTCTGGCAATGCAGTGCTGGGCTCTGCTGCAGCACAGCAATATCCTTCGGCTACTCCAGCTACCCTGACAGCTAACCGGGAATCTGCTGCCTCAGCATCCAGAAACCGGGGCGCACAGACTGCACATAAAAGGACCAGCTACGGGAAGGTGACTTACAGGCACTACAGGGACAAAACAAGCAGGCGGTTTAGAGGACACAGGAGACAGTTTGTTTCCTCAGCCAGGAGAGTCGATCCACAGCACTGGGCAGCCTTTTTGGAAAAAACAAAGAGGAACTCGAAAGAAAAGCAAGAAGTTGTAACGAAAGCACCTATTCAAATCCACAAACTGTCAGAAGTACCTGTGGATGAGGAGGAAACATCTGGTGATCTCTCATCTCCAGAAGAAGAATTCATGATACCGGTAACAGAGACCGCCACTCCGGGGAAGGGGAAGGAAAGCGTGGTAACTGCAGGGCCCGAGAGGGCCACAAGTAACACTCCTGCGAGGAAAACCTCTCTCCTGGTTGCAGAGGCAGTAACTCCCCTACCCTCTCCTTCACAGTCTGTGCCATCTGACAGCAGAACGCCACAAACATACCTAAAACCTACAATTACAAACTCACGGGAAAAATCTGATTCAAGTCAAGTATCAGCAAATGGTATAAAACAATCAACTGTATCAGATGGAGCGAGTAGAACATCTACGCTCTTCCCTGATGGGCTAAGGTTGGTATATTCTGGGGACAGTAATAACCATCATTTAAAATCTGTATCTACAACAGCCATGACAGACGTTACGGACACCAGCAAATCTGTAACTTCCCAAAACGCAGTGGACAAGCTGCACGTTTTTACCGAGTCTGTTGATAGGATTTCCACCAAAATGGATCACCGGGTATCTGTAGCGACAGTTAGTGAACCAAGTCCTCAATCTGGTCACATTGATTCTCATAACATTCAGAAACAAGTAACTCCTAAGCCACCGTTGGCCTCAGCTATCATTACTCATCAGCAAACTCAGATTAATCAGGATGTTACAACTCACACACCCCAGGCCCGGCAGCAATATGGAAGACGAAGGAAAATTTCTGGTAGGAGACGAATTGTTAGACCAGGACGTATTCCAAGCGTGAAAGAGCACAGATACAATTTTGGGAGGCCAGGATCTGTCAGAGGAAGTACGGCTATGGCTGCAGACGTTCAACTGAATACGAAAGATGTATCAAATTTACCAACTTTAAACAGTTTAAGCAGCTCCATCAACCCGTTTAGCCCCGAAGCACCTCTGTCCTCCCCCTCTAACATGAATATGCCATTGGAGCACCCAGCAGGTACTCATCAAAACACAGCATTCCTCGGGGAAGAGGAAGATGAACCTAGGGCCAGGCAAAAAGCTACTACGACAGTCATGCCTTTCATTACAAAGGGCACCCAAGGTACTCCTCAATGGAAAGTAGAGAGCAGTGCTCCATTTCAGACAGATACTGGTAGAATCCAACCTTTTAGCGTCAGACTACCAACACCAGCGACCCACACAGCTCCTACTGCTACAGAAGTTCCACATACCGTAAGCACTGAGCTGTCTTCTACCCCTGAATCAGTCTCACCCAGCATTAAGCCTAGAACCTCACCAAAAAATTCTCCAAAAGGGGAAATTACTTGGGAACGTCTCTTTGGAAATGGTGCACAGAAAGAGGTTCTGAAGAAGCTAGCAAAACAACAGACAGGTGCGTTTCCAGCAACAGAGGTATCGACCGTGCTTCCTAAAACTACGGCAGCATTGTCTACGTCCAGACTGTCCCCTTTGCACTTCATGCCTCTTTCAGCAGGTGGGAATCACAGCAGTGGTTTCTTGTCTTTAGACAAACTCGCTCATTATGGCAACGGGAACTCAGAAGAACATCTTCCCACTGCAAAGCTCCGTTCATCCTCTAATCCTGCAGCTAGTCCAACCGAAGAAATGGATGCAACAGGTTTGAAGCCAACAGTTACACCTATTATCACTCCTGAAAGCGACACCAAAGTCACCAAAAGTAAAATATTCAGAGTGGGAGGAAAGGGAAGTCAGAGGAGGCAGAGCCCCCTTAAAACGCCTCCTTCAGAAAGCGTGACTGCCGGCCACGGCACAGCAGCGATTCCGTCGGGGAACGCAGCCACGCCGGTCGTGCCAACAGTTAAATCACTAACAGCGCCTGCAAGTCTTGCACCCGCAGCACCTCCCTCGGAGAGAGCACGAGCGGCCTCGGCCTCGGCGGCAGCAGTGCCGGCGCTGTGGGTCCGGGCCCCCCCCGAGGCCCCGGGGCACGCGCCTGCAGCAGCCACGCAGGCACCCAGGGCCCCGGGCCAGCCGGCCCCGCTGCCGCCCCACGGCCGCCTCGCCCCCCGCCCCACCGCGCCGCCCCACGCCGCCCCACCCGCCACGGCCCGCCCGGTGCTGGGGGTGCAGCCGGCCCAGCGGACCACAGCCACCGCGACGGCGGGTGGAAAACCGCGCCCGAGGATGGAGAAGCGAGTTCTCCAAGGAAGCCACGCGGCACAGCCCAGGTCGCCAGCAAGAACCGAGCCGAGCGCCCCTGCCGCAGCCCCCGCCGTCGCCGCTCGGCCTCCCACCCCGCCGCCGGCCCTCCCAGCAGCTGTGCCACGTACGGCGAGAACCAGCGCGCCGCCGGCACGGGAAACCCAGTTCTGGCAGAAGGCTTCCGTCCGAGCCACCGAGAGGGGCAACACCGAGACTGCCGGCACACGGGCCATACCGAAGTCGTCCCGGATCGCGACGCCGTATGCTCCTCTGGGCCGAAGGGACAAGGGCAGCTCTGTCAAAGGCTGGCCTGAAAAGAGTCAAGATCAAGGAACTACCACCACCAGTCCTGTAGCCTCGGACTCCTTAAGCAGAACTCATTTTGCAAAGCCCAGAATAATTGGAGGGAAATTAGCTGCTTTTACTGTGCTAGCTAATTCAGATGCTTTTATTCCTTGTGAAGCTACTGGTAACCCCCGTCCAACAATACAGTGGACCAAGATATCGTCAGGTAAGCTTCCTAAACCCCTCCAGAGCCTACCTTCCATTTTAGTCTCGTAATTTGGCAGACGTTTTGTGTGCCGAACTCAAATGTTGCTTCTTTTAGGAGTACCGTGAAATACCAATGAAAAGATGAACTTGGAAACAGTGAAAAAGAAAGATAGCTCAGCACACTTGCCGGAGCGTCTTACTACCGATTATGAAAAAGTTCTTTAGGGAACTAGAAACATGATCTATATTTAACTGTACTCCTGTGCTTATCGTGAGATTTCAGTAGTTATTGTGTGTTACCTGGTCATTCAGAAGAGTGAGACAAGTGAAAAGAAAAATCTGTTTGCGGTAACAAACCATCCAATCAAGTTAAATCTATGCCAAAGTATTTTTGATTGTGCAAAGCCTAGTCACAACGACACCGAAGTATTTTGGGGTATGCAAAGCCCCATACGTTTTGTCCAAAGTTTGTCTCTACCGACGACCAGGTTTTGGGTTTACTTTGAAGCTTTGTCACTCTGCATGCAAAATACTGTTACTTCTCCCATTCTTACCGCTCGAGCCCTGGTTATCTGGGCAAAGGAGAGCAGGCTAGGGAAAGGGTTTTTGGGCAGTGAGCGAAAAGGAACAGAAGCGAGAGGTTTTGACGTGGTTGTCCCCTTGGTTCCGCAGGGACGGATGCTCCGGAGGGCCGAGGTGGTGGTGGATGGGTGGTGTTTGCCAACGGCACGCTCTCCATCGCCCGGGCGGGCCTGGGCGACCGCGGGCAGTACCTGTGCACCGCGGCCAACCCGCACGGGGCCGCCCGGCTCCTGGTCACCTTGTCGGTGGTGGCCTACCCGCCCCGCGTCACCGGTGGAAGGTGGCAGCTCCTCACCGCCCACTCCGGAAAGCCCGCGGCACTGAAGTGCAAAGCTGAGGGCAGGCCTCCTCCCACCATCTCCTGGGTGCTGGCAAATCAAACGCACATCTCTGGCTCCTCCGCAGGAAATAACAAAGTTCGTGTGGAGCCTGACGGCACTTTAATTATCAGGGATGTCACCGTTTACGACAGGGGCCTCTACACATGCAGGGCTAAAAACCCAGCGGGCACCGACACGCTGGTTGTAAAACTCCAGGTCATTGCGGCACCTCCCGCTATCCTGGAAGAGAAGAGACAACGTGTGGAAGGAATGATGGGGGAAGATCTGAAACTCCCTTGCACCGTGCAAGGGAATCCTCAGCCCGCTGTCCACTGGGTCCTCTTTGATGGCACGGTGGTGAAGCCTCTGCAGTTCGTAAACGGAAAGCTGTTCCTGTTCTCCAACGGCACCCTCCACCTCCGCAGCATCGCCCCTTCTGACAGCGGGAATTACGAGTGCATAGCCACGAGCTCGACTGGCTCGGAAAGGAGGGTGGTGAGCCTCGTGGTGGAACGCCGAGACACGCTTCCAAAAATAGCTACCGCCTCTCAGGAAGTGACTCGGTTGAATTTGGGGGATAAGTTGCTTCTGAACTGCACGGCGACTGGGGAGCCAAAGCCCAGCATCATCTGGCGGTTACCCTCCAAGGCAGTGGTTGACCAGTGGCACAGGTAGGAGTCTTTTTTTTTTTTTCTCCTCACCTCTTTGAAATTTCAAACACTGTCTTCTCCGGTGCTCATATAAGAGACTGTTGCGTCGCTGCAACAATATATTGCGAACTAAATTCACTTTTAAACGTTTAACAGCAGCGAAACATCTGGGATCATGGCTTGCTATTACACGAATAACAACAGATCACATCAGTTGTCACAAGTGGGTGAGGTCTTACCAAAATAGATACAAGTCATATTTGAATGAAGGAAACTGATGTTAATGATGCACTGGCTGAATTCTGTCATTCTATGGGAGGAAAGGTTATTTGTAAGAGATTTGCAAAGTAGGGCTCGGGAGGAAGAGGCTTCTGCAGTCTCTGCCAAGCCTACCTTTGAGGGTCTCCCCCCCCACGGTAACACTTCACCTTCGCTTTGGGAGAGACAGTCCCAGGTCAGGAGGTTCCCGGCAGGCCCGTGAGAACCTGCGGTGGGGCTGAGGAGGGCGATGGGGGCGCGTGCCCTGCGGCAGGGGAGGCACCCAGGGTCATCGCTGGGCGCCAGCGTCGTTGCGGACAACAGGCTGCCGGGCGCCCCGGCCACCTGCAAGGGGAGGCAGGAGGGAGAGGAGCAGAGAGGCTGGCGGGGGGGGGGGGGGGGCGCGAGGTCCAGCGGGCTCCCTTGTCGGCAGAGCGGTTTTCGGCAAGGCGGAGGCGGCACGGCGCAGCCCCGCGTGGAGCCAGCGAGCACGTGCGCACCCACACCGCTGCACCGGGTTGTAAAGCCCCGGCCCGGCGCCTCCGGAGACAGCCCCCGTATCGCACCGCGCTGTGAACGCGGTCGCTTCCGGCGCTCAGTACTCACCCCCAGCATTTTATTCCATTAATCCTTTTCTTCTTTCTCCCTCCCCAACAGAATGGGAAGTCGAATCCACGTCTACCCCAATGGATCCTTGGTTATTGAGGCAGTCACCGAAAAGGATGCAGGTGACTATTTGTGTGTTGCGAGAAACAAAATCGGAGACGATCTGATACTGCTGAAAGTCAGCATCCCAATGAAACCAGCCAAGATTGACCGGAAACAGTATTTCAAGAAACTGGTGCCATACGGAAAAGATTTCCGAGTGGACTGCAAGGCCTCTGGGTCACCCGCTCCGGAAATCTCCTGGAGCTTGCCGGACGGAACGGTGATCAATAACGCGATGCTGGCGGATGACAGCGGACACAGGTCTCGCAGGTACGTCCTCTTTGACAACGGGACTCTGTATCTCAACAGAGTTGGCGTAACGGAAGGAGGAGATTATACCTGCCACGCTCAAAACACACTGGGAAGAGACGAAATGAAGATACGCATCACGGTGATCATGGCAGCCCCCCAGATAAAGCACAATTACAAGACATACATTAAGGTGAAAGCTGGAGATACGGCGTTACTGGACTGTGAAGCTGCCGGAGAACCCAAGCCAAAAATATTCTGGTTGCTACCTTCCAGTGACATGATCTCCTCGTCAACAGCCAGACACTTCCTGCACGTCAACGGTTCTCTCTCAGTCAGTCAAGTCAAGCTGATAGATGCCGGGGAGTATATGTGTGTTGCTCGTAATCCTGGGGGGGATGATACAAAATTGTATAAACTGGATGTTGTTGCTAAACCACCCACCATAAATGGCTTACACGTGAACAAAACGATCATGACGGTGACGGCAGTGAGGCATTCAAAGAAACAAATTGACTGCAGGGCAGAGGGGACACCCCCCCCTCAGATTATGTGGATCATGCCTGATAATATTTTCCTAACAGCTCCGTATTATGGGAGCAGGATTATAGTATACAAAAACGGGACGCTGGAGATTCGGAACATAAGGCCTTCCGACACAGCAGAATTTATCTGTGTGGCTCGCAACGATGGCGGGGAGAGCGTGCTGGTGGTGCAGCTGGAGGTACTAGAAATGCTACGGCGACCGATGTTTAAAAATCCGTTCAATGAAAAAATAATAGCGATACCTGGGAGAAGTACCACGCTGAATTGCTCTGTGGATGGAAACCCTCCACCGGCCATCAGCTGGATGCTGCCTAATGGCACGTGGTTCTCCAGCGGCATCGAGACTTCCCAGTTTCTCACGGGAAGCGACGGTACCCTTACCATCTCCAGCCCCGATGCAGACAAAGCAGGGAAGTATCGCTGTGCTGCCAAGAATAAAGTTGGCTATATCGAAAAGCTGATCGTCTTGGAGGTCGGCCGGAAGCCCAGTATCCTCACTCGCCCGGTGGGGCCGGTGAGGGGCGTTAGCGGGGAGTCGCTGTCGCTCCACTGCCTGGCTGATGGGAGCCCCAGACCAAACACCGCGTGGACTCTGCCGGGTGGCTCCGTGCTGGATCGGCCGCAGATCAACTGGAAATACGTCCTGCTGGAGAACGGCACGTTGGTTATACGGGACGCCACCGTCCGCGACAGAGGGAATTACGTGTGTAAGGCCCACAACAGCGCCGGAGATTCCTCCGTGACCGTTCCTGTGGTTATCGTAGCCTATCCCCCCCGGATTACCAACAGGCCGCCGCAAGCCATACACACGATGCCCGGTGCAGCGGTGCAGCTCCACTGCACAGCCCTGGGCGTACCAAAACCAGAAATTACCTGGGAGCTACCCGACCGCTCCGTGCTCTCTACAGATCACCGCGGCCGAGCGTCGGGGAGCGAACCGCTTCACCCCTCGGGGACCTTACTCATCCAGAACCCCCAGCCCTCCGATTCTGGCGCGTACAAGTGCACGGCCAAGAACCATCTGGGCAGCGACTTCACAGTGACGTACATTCACGTCGTCTGAAGCAAGAAATACAGCACGAATGACTGTTAACAAAGTCCACAGCTGGCCTGAGTTCGTTCTTGGAGCAAGGTCAATCAGAGGCAGCCACAGGCACGAAGGTGCCTGAATACATTTACAGTAAATCAGTCTGCAGTGACCACGCAGCGAGGGAAGGGTAGACCCAGCGTTCTTACCCAGCGTTGGGCTTCTTCTGCGATTAAACAGATTCAGATTAAAACAAACTTAAGGCACTTTTGCTCCACCAGCAAACATTGAAAATCAAATAAAATTACCTTTGGGGAATGTACCTAGAAATCTTCAGTAAAGGATAGACCTTTTCGTATTAAATATTGCCCACCGTCTATGACTAACATGAGGATGGATCACATAAAGCATCTGAGAACCAAAGAGCAGATTTTATTGTGATGCAAATTACTTTCTTAATGTTTGAATATTTAGTATGTTTTTTTTTTTAATAAATATTCAGTGGTGAAACACGTAGTGACGTATTTTTAATAATATGACTCTTTCACACAGTCTTTTTTGCAGAACTTTGGGATGATACATGCAGAACAGCTTTGTTCTCATAATGAAATGAGAGAGCTCTGTTTAGAAAAAGCGCAGACTGCGTGTAGAAACACTCTAGCTTGGAATAATTTTCCTATTGCCACAAAAGCATTTTTTAAAGATTTCTCACTAGAAACCAATTGCACCAATTTGCATATTAATTTAGAGTTCTGATTTCTCAATTCAGTAGCTAGGTCTAAGAAGCAACCTTCTGCACACGAGGGAGAAATGCCTTCACGATGGTAGGAAATGGTTACCGACACATTGTACACTAACAAATCACGGATTGGACTGGACAAATAAATCTTTAAAGGATTAAGCCAGTAACTAAAGCTCAGAGTTTCTTGTTTTCTTCCTGAGAGAGCGATTAAAGTCAGAGCAGAGGGGTGCAAGGCAGCGCAGCCTTTCCCCTCCAGTTCTCCAGCCCGGGAGCCGCGCGGCTCATCAGCGAGAGAGTGTTCAGGTGCCAAGAGCTAAATGCAGATTCTACCTCACTTACCCGCGTCACAATCAACCTGGGGAATTTTACATTTCTTTCATCGAAGACTATAACCTCCGCTTGGATTGCTTTTGTGCTGGTTTGATCATTTCCTGACGCCAAGCACATACAGTTTGCTGTGTGCTCGTTCCCCCCTTCCACAGATGCTGATTCTACTGCTGATGGAGCAGTAGCCACAGCGTGGCTGGATGACACGGATCTCACTGCTTAATACCTGTAAGAGCTTTAGCTACTATGAAAAACAGTGAATCTTAAAAAAGAACAGAACAGAAATAATTTTTACATGAGTGACACACACCTGACTATTGTAAAAGCCCATCAAAATCTACTTTTCTACAGATTTTTGTGCAGAGAGTATTATTTCATTCGCTGGCTGTACAGCCTCCCAAGACCTCTGAAGCTTACGCAGTGCAGTCGCCCCCCCTCCCCACGGAACACCTAACTACGATACCATCTGCAAACAATTTGTACGGTAAATTAAGCAAATTGAGTTAGTAGAAAGCAGGGAGAAAATACTCCTATGTGTATTTTAAATGCCTTGCATATTCCACTTTCAAAATGAATGCATTAAAAAAAAAAAAGTTATATAGACTAACTCCTCGATTACACAAAATAGTAATGAATTTATTGCTTTTTCAACTCTGCTATGAGCAAAATCATAGTATATTTGTATCGGATTGGATGATAACGACCTGCCTGTGGTGATTCTGATTTGCAATTTACTCGCGGTTTTGCACTCGGCTGAAAATCCGTAATGCCTTACGCCTCCGGGGCTCGCCCAGCACCACGACCCACAGCCGGGACCGGCAGGACGCGCCGCGGCGCGCGGGGAGCGGGGCCGGGGCCGGGGATAACGCTGAGGGCGACCTCAGCGCGCAGGGCCGCCCGCCACGGGGCCCGGGCAGGGCTTCGGTGGAAGCCGGCAGGAGATCTGTCCCCCCGGGGCACCGGTGGGACGCGGGGGTTTGTCTCCTGCGAGGTTTCACCAGGACCTGGAGATTTCCCTGCGCGAGCGGAGCAAAACCCGCCGTGACCGGTCAGTCGCTGCTGCTGCGCCGGCTGCGTCAGAACTGTCCTCCAGGGAGGTTTATATTAAACAGACCAAAGATGAAGCACTGCTTCCTTTAGTAGGTTTATTAACATTACGTTGTGGCTTTTAATATAAACTTTAAGAAGTTCTAATACAAGCAATAAACCCACTTCAGCACCTTCTTACCACAATAAGAGCAAGAAAAAATTGGTACTTTAAACAAAGAACCTTATAAAGTGCATATGAAAATTACAGTCAAATAAACACAATTTAAATTGATGCTTGTCCTACCAACAAAGAAAGAGGTGAACATTTTAAAGAACAAATTAACTTTTATGCCAAAATCGGAAGTGCCTTTCAGTTCAGTAGTTTGGTCCAGTGCAGTTCTTAAACAAAAAAAAAAAAAAGAAACCCCAACAAAAATAATAAAAGAATTAAAAAACCCACAAAAAAACAAAAAAGTGTTTCCCGCAAATAAATAAATCCAGCATTCTTTGTCCCCTTTAAAAGTAACAGGACCTAAAAAGCACCAAATTCATAAAATCTGCAATAACATTCTTCAAATAGGCCCACAAATCCATACATTTAAATCTAGTTGAACGCAAAAAAGAATCCCCCAACCCAAACAACCCACCTTGTTACATATTCACATCAACTGCAGCACAAAAAATAATCATTGAAATTAGAAGAGAAGAAAATTAAAGTCTGCTTTCTAGCAATAACTAGTGCATTGGATTTGGAGTGTCCTGTTCTTCAGTGCAAACGGAACGCGCCGGCCCCCTTGGCTCTCTGGCTCAGAAGTGGGGAGGGTGCCCGTACTGGCCCCCTCCTTGCTGTGGCTGGTTACCTGGCGGGCACAGCAAAGGGAAGGGTTTGCGCCTCCCGCCCGCGCCCCGCGGGACGCCTGCGTTGCAGGCGGGGGGTCGCGAGCGCCGGCCAGTCCATTCCATTCCCGCACACCCCGGGAAGAGGTGCCGGGTTTTCTCTCGGGGCTTTGCCTGCGGTGGGGCCGCGGAGGTGAGGAAACGCGCAGCCGGTTGTGAGCGGGCCCCCAGCCCCCGGCCTGCTGCAGCCGGTTGTGAGTGGGCCCCCAGCCCCCGGCCTGCCGGTGCCTCGGGGCTCCTCCGGAGACCGACAGGTCCCCGCGGGGCGCGCCGGCCCCAGAGCTTCGGCGTTGTGCCACTGCCGGGGCGGGCGGCCAGCTCCCAGCGGGCCAGGTACCTCCGCGCATCTACGGCAGCACATCTCCGGGGAGATCGCTGCACCCCCGCGTCCACACGCGTATTTCCGTACGTCCACAGGGCGCGCACTTACTAGAGAGCTGCTTCTGGAGCTGCCGGACCAGCGCCGCCGTCTGTTGCTGCTGCTGGGTCTGTTGCAAGCCTTGCCTCGGAAACTGCAACGGAAACCAGAGACATACGGAACGGGCGCCGAGCGCGGGGGCGCAGCGGGGCAGGGGGGGGTGGACAGCCTGCCTCCCCAGCGGGTCCCGACGGGAGCTGGACAGCCCCGTACGGACACGTGGAGCGCACACGCAACTCCCAGAGCGTTTGTCCCCGTCCTTCCCCGAACTCCTGCACCGTTCCAGCCACGTCGCTGGTGTCGCCTGTGTCCCGCCAGACACGAGGCACGGGGGCAGCGTCCCTCCCGGCCACCTCTGGAGAGGCCACTATTCACCCTGCAACTCGGTCAAGCACCTTTACTGTCTGCATTGTTCAAAGACAGCACAAAACTGCGAATCAAAGCACACATAGTTGAAGCACAGCACTCAAAAGAAGCTTCTAGAAGAATATTCTTCCCAGGGCAGTGGCACGTCAGGTAGGGGAAGGGTAAGCAGCAAGCTCGGGCTGTCCGCAGCGCTGCACGCCTGCGGCACGGCCCCAGCTGCACCCTCGGCTCCCAGTGGAACGGGAGGCAGAGCAGTGCTTCCACTGGGCAAAATCATCATCGCCCTGATCCCCACCCGGAGCCCAGAGGGATCAAGCCAAGGCCCTCCCAGTCCATGGCATTAAGCACAGTGGGATTAGACACAAAAAGCTGCCAAAGAAATCCGCTGGTAATGAATTAAATCATGACCTCAGTCACTCTGAAAGTACTCTTGGTGTAAATGCATTGACTTTCACAAATCTGCACCCCATTTATGCTTGCATCAAAGTAGAATTGAGTCTTGAATTGGTCCACCTGACAGCACGCCTTATTCCCTAGCTAGCTGATCCATTAAGTCTATTTTTCAAGCCGCGTATTTTTCAAGTCTATTTTTCAAGCGGCTCTTCCCCCGAAGACAGGGCACCCGTCTGAAAGACAAACGCCAGCGCAAGGGCCCCCCGAGCCCCGAGCTGACGGCACAACCCCCTCGCACTGCCCTGCTCCTGGCAGGGAGACGTGCTGTGCCGCACGGCGATGCACAGACCAAGCCTTCCCCATTTGCCGCCTTACCCTCAGGGCCTCTCAGCGCTCCAGATCCACTTCCCAAGTCCCAGAACATCCCTTCTCATCAGATTTGGTGAAAATGCACGTGCTTCTAATGGCGTGATTTTTTTTGTGCTCCTGCGCAAGGATGCACAATGCACCTGACCAGTCTGAAAACCCGATGTGCTGGATGAAACTGGTGTTATTCAATACTCTAATAACGTCATACGCGCTACAGAAAACGCCCATGCTTTGTTTCAGTGAAACCTTTTGCTTACTGAAGGGAGTTTCAGTGTTTTACAAGACTTCAGCATCTTTTCTCTTTCTGAAACCAAATCCTTTACTTAAAATACATTGTGTAAGCTTCTGGCTAACAGTCCTTAGCAAATGCTGAGGTTAGTCAAAAGCATTAACCACACCAGGGTTTCTTGGGGACACGAAACCAGCACAGAAAGCTTCCTGCTTGCGAAGTGCTGGACGAGGAGCCTGCAGCCAGGCAGGTGCTCGGTCTCTGCGACAGTCTCGCCCGTGCAGTTTGTTCAAGATATAAACACTATTAAGAAAGACGTGAAAACGGATGAAAATTGCCTTTCAACAGCCACCAGAGAAACATTTTTCATTTATCCTTTCACTTGCACTTACAGGCCACCTCCCAGTTCCTCTATCAGATCATGTTGATTAAATGCTTTTAAACTCCAAAGCCAGCAATTTCAGCCTTACGGTATTTCCTCCGTTTTTCTATAGCAAATGTTTTCCAGTTACCCTCACCTACCTTATTTACGCCTGGAAAAACTGCCTAAATACAGGAAACAGGCATAATGACAGTGTAAATTCAGTGGGCGTGTCCATAAAAACTCCTCAGCAGTGGCAGTGATTTGGTAAAATCATTCACTAAACTGTAAAAGGCTCCAATTCAGCGCAAAGGAATGTCTCAGAAGTTTTAATTTTCCTACAGTTGTCTTCATGCAGCTCTGTTTTATGACTAACGATTTCATTTAAAAGGCTCCTCAAATAAGCCCCATTTTTCCCCCCAGCCTAAAAACGCAAGGCCAGGGCCAGGACCCGAGGCCGGCAGGAGCGCGGCCGCTCGCGCAGCCGGCACCCGGCGCCGCTTCTTGGGGCACGGCGAAACTAGCTCCACAAGCAGCCTCTACCGCGTCCGCTCCCCTGCTTCCTCTTCAAAATATTACAAAGTCAGAAAAACCCGTCAATTTGTAAGCAGCAGCAGCGCCTACAGGTTTCTCACCAGGCTTACGCTTTTAAAGTTAGCAAGGGCTATTCATGATTACTATGGTAGATGAATTAGGATTCCTAACGCTCATAAAAACGCATAGCACAGCAAGCATAAATGGGAGAAATTCGTTCCTGCAGCAGTAAGGTGTTAATTTA